TATCTTTTCTGTCACAAGAAAAACGACACGTTTCTATATAAATTATTATATTATGAAGAACAATTAATTTTAGCGTTGTGCTGCGCCTGTCACAGAATTTGCGACATGCTACTAAATTAATATCTGTATTACTAAACTAAAATTAGTGCCGATCATGGGTTTAACTGCGGAGGAAGATTTTATCATGGACTAACTTATCTGATTCATCAGATCAGCTTGCCATAACACTCCTTTGACAGACCTTCTATATTGAACTCCACAAATCTCTTCACAATCCTCCTCATTGAACTGAAATTTGAACAAAACAGTTTTTCAACTGAAATGTGTTGGCCAGAGTAATCAATGATGTAGTAATATAAAGGGCTGGACAATCTCACATCAGTATTATTGTACAAATTGCTTATTAAATGATTAAATGATTTCAATACATACTTAAACTCTTTTTTGTCAGCTGCAATTGTGGCATGGTAATTATCTATTTGTTCCTTAATATAAATCCAGTCAACATGTTCAATAGCTGAAGTGTTTTCTGGTTGGGACACCTCTTCTGATGCATTGATGTCTTGTTCATCAATATTTCCCTCTCCACCTGTCTGTATGTCAGGCTCCACTGTCAATGTCAATGCCACAGATTCCTGAAGTGCCAAATGGTAACCATTATTTTATAAGCAGTTAATATTAAAAAAAAAACTACTTGTAAGTAATGTGGATCAGAAACATTTCATATTAATATGCATTTGTGAAGGTCATCATCATACCGTTTCTACACATCCTATGTCAGTTGTTTCACTCCTGTTTTCTGGTATATCCACATCAACTACTTCCTCTATATCTTCCTCAATGGATTTTTTCTTTGAATGGACCTCATCTATTACTATGACCTGGTCAACTTGTTGTACATGTACTGCATCCAACACATCAAATACATCAACTTGTGAGTTGAGCTTGAAAGCAGACTGTATTGTGGAAAGCTTTTGTTAAAATGTAGCTTGTTTCATTTGCAAAATTAACAACATCAGAATGGTTACAGACCCTTTTTTTTCTAAGCATCACTTTTGCGTTCTTCACATTCTTACTCAACAGCTCTGCCTTTATCTGATCCCAATATTTGGAAGTTTCTTTTCTTTCTTTCCTCTTATTTTTATTCAAAAAAAAAAAAAAAAAGACAAACAGTCAGTATTTCAAATCACACTATATTTCTTCTCTTTTTCTTTAGAGAGAGACTGCACAAGGAACAAAACCCCATGCTCGAGTTATCTTGAGGAGGAACGAAACCCCCAAAAGATTTCTATAAGAGAAACGAAACCCCCCCCGAGTTGTGCAGCCTGCGCGAGGAACGAAACCCCATGCTCGAGTTATCTTGAGGAGGAACGAAACTATTGTATGACCACTTTGCGCATGGTGTATTGACGAAGTACGAAGATACAACTGTTTCTACAAAAAGAAAGACGACTTCACATGTGTGTTTTTACACTCTAAACACGGTAAAAGATAGGACTTACCAAGAGTAGTGTCTGAAATGGAAGACATGAGATCAAGCCAATACAACTAACACAGGGAGATTAATAAGTTCAGCACGTTAATGTGAAGACGAAGAAATGTGTGCAGAAACGACGCGTACGCGCAAAAGTTATTCAAGTTCCGTTTTTGATATATCCGTAGTAAAGTCACGCTAAATGCCGCATTAGTAGTATAGCCTGTTACACCCGGCTGATGCAGCATTTTAAGAGGATGGCTAAAGCGAAGTAGAACGTGACCTGATTCTTGCAATTACATTGGTCAAATTTGTATATCAACCAATGAAATTGTAAAAAAACTACTTCGCTTTAGCCTACCCCCATTTTAAGTTGCCAAACGTGGCGTGATTTTACCAACCATACGTTAGTATTAGGTAAGATATTTAACCAATCAATCCTGATACTTATCAACCCTACACTGTGTCGAGTGAGTCTATGAAATCTTGTTACAGACTGCTTCTGCCATCCTATGGCTAGCCACATGAGATGTGTCTTTAATTAGTATTGATAACACTATTTCATTCCAGTAATAGTAAAATCAGTCACATTTTTCGCAAAGATGGTCTTTTATTTCTAGGTGGCCGCCAAGTACTTTGTTGTGTTTTAGGAGCATAATTATCAAATCATAGATAAGCCGGAAGTATTAGATAAATTAGAAACCCCGGGAATGGATTCAACTGAGAAAATACTTGCTTGCAAATGATGCTCTTAATGCTAAAATCTCTACAAGCTGTATCTACTAAGCAAATAACATGATCTTTGCACCATTCTGAAGTTAATTGACTGTATGTTTCAGGGAGAATTAAAACAGCTAAGAGCTATGTAGGTTACATGCACACACAATTAGCTTCAAAATGGTACAAAGATCATGTTAAGTATAATAAAACAATAATAGTTTTATTTGTTGATTGTAAATGACAAAAAGCAAAGGAGAAACTACCCTAATGGAAGAAAATATATTTTAGTGAGATGGAGGAATATTTTGCTGATTAGTTAGCAAATCTAGTGCTGTTTAGACAGGCTTTGAACTTCTTCTCATTTTTTTTCTAATTCTCATTTTTTTATCTTATGACTTGAAGTGTATCATTAAAATCTATGCTCGCTCCACATCCTAATACAAGGTGTCTATTCCATTCCATCTTGTACCATTGAATTGCGGTAATAATATTTCCCGCGGGCAAATAGCCGAGATATGGAGCATTAGAAGGACAAGTCGTTTCGAGTGTTGCCGTCGTTGAAATGGCATCTGGATTTGAATTTGCTGGAACGACAGACAGTATCAGGAATAACGATGATTATGAATTCCGTAGTCGGGCAGTGGGGTTGAACGTGACCGCCAGCACGACAAATAATTTCAACAAATTATTGAAGATTGAAACCAAATGATGCATGGGAATTGAGAAATAGAGGTTATCTGAATCTTAAACAGCATGACAATTGATTGATAAGGAGATGTAGGGAGCTATCTATCTATAGATCTAAAACAGTATTAAATAATTTCAACACGTTAATAATGGAGGAGTCGTTACCGCACGTTAGCGTGGGTTCGCTTTTATGCAAACTTTTTTGTTGGTTATGTGGTCGATAAACCGTGTTTGTTGTAGCGAAGTTGTATGTGCGTAATATGGTGTGACAGCAAAGGCTTGTTGTGTTGTATATTTAAGTAACGTTGTGTTCACATTTTGGGCGAAGAAACGTCTGGTGTATATATACAGTGTGTTAAGAAAAAAATTGCTCTTTGACACTAAAACTTGTTTACACTGTTTTACATACATCATTGATGCAAAGTTTATAGAGAAACTTTGGGGAAACATCTTCCAAAAAATAGAAGTGGGTAAGAATTTCAACGGGGTATACAGGCTGAGTGGTCAGAGTTTGTTTTTTTTTAAAAAAAAAGCCTTCTTTGAAGTTAGGGATTGGCCTTTTAATAATCCAGACCTTAACCCTGTTGAAAGTTTGTTTGAAAAACGGATGCAAAGTAATATTTCCGAGTTGCAGTAATATACGACAGAGGGATGGAAAATATTCCGAATAAATTTTGACAAACATTAATTATTTTGTTAATGCGTGATTGTTGTCAGCAAGTAATAGACAATAATAGTGAACGAAATAAATTATGTTTTTTCTATCAGTAAAAGCATTGCTTTGTAGCTTTCAAACACGCCATTACATGTTAATATTGAAAAAGTTTCTATCTAGCCATGGTAAAAAAGAGAAGGCCAATTTTTTTAACACGCACTGTATATGTGTGAGTAGACGCGCGTTCGCTGTTATAGATGACAAATATTTGTACTATTTGATATGATCTGGATATTTTGTAGATTGATTATGCATCCGTGATAGAGGTTGCTGGGATTGTGGGGGATGAGAAGGCGATGTTTGTGCCGTAGAGGAGTGTGAATGCTGGGCTTGATGTTGGGTTTGAGTTTGGGTTTGAGAAGCCTGTGTCTGGTGTGACGGTTGTTGCGATTGTGGGAGATGAGAAGACGACGTTTGTGCCGTTAGAAATTATCAAATAACATAATAATAAATACATACACTGAATAGTCAACCTTTTTCCGAGTAATTCCACAATGTTTTCCATAGCGTAGGTATAGACACCACATTCCCAGTGCGTTGTTCCATCTCAGCAACCAACTCGTCCGGATACCAGTATACAGTACTTTAGATCAAAAGGTTGTTTCATTAATGAACGCCGAGGAATCGGATTAACCATACTTTTTTTCTGGGAATTTATTTAACTCGCTTTTTAAAGCTTGAATAGTAAGCGACGCCCTAATTCATATGGTACCAAATAGCAGTGCATGAAATGGAGATGGTTTGCGTCTCTTGTACCGTTGCTCACTCAACGGCGCGAATGGTGCTTTATGTGGATCTGCTTGAGCAATCGTGACCATTATTTGCAAAAAGTCACCACACTCCCACTCTTCATTTGATCCACTTCCAATGGAATTCTTCAATCAATCATGTCTTTATTGCCTCACATATTAACGTCTATTTATGATCCTGCTCTAGAAACCTTTAAAAAATAATACAATTGCACGAGTGGTTCTACAATACTGTTATTACATGAATATATTGTACATCATAGGTTAAATATCCGGAATAAACAGGCCGAGTTGTTTGGAATCTATTCAAAAATAAACGATAATTAACACGATTTCAAGTAGATAATATATCCGAACATATTAATACGTACCAAAAGTTATTTCTTCACTAGAAATTGCAGAACCGACCCGATTGAAATCTGATCAATGGCATATAAAGCATCAAGTTAATAAATTGACATTATAGAAGGTTCGAAGAGAAAGCCTTACCTTGATCGCTTCCATCTACATTTATCTTGAGACTTTCGAAGTTAAATACTCTACTGAAATAAACTGCTTCAGGATGAGCTGGTTTCTCCGCTAACTTGGCCCGATGGCTTTTTAACATGTTCCTAGCTCTCTCTAGTGCTGGAATATACTCCCGATTATGATCTTGATTCCACAAGTCTATATCGAAAGCAAGCTCGTAAGCGGATGGACGCTTGTCCGGGTCGGGATCAACGCATCTCTTGTAGACGATTCTATAGAATTCTGGTGCCCAAGGACTCAATTCCTCGGCAAATGCTTTGAGCTAAAGACATATCATGAGCTCTATGCTTGAATGGAGTGTCTTCCATTTCAAACATCCACATTATGAGCCCAAATGCATAAATATCTGCTTTCTAAGAACAACATTGTAAATGATGACAGTTAAACAATACAGATATAGACAGTGACATTGGACACAAGAAGTAAGTTTTTAACAAATACCTGCGTGTATGGTTTACCGCTAAGAACCTCTGGTGCAACATATGGCATTACTCCAAATACTTCATTATGCTTCTTGGCTTCATCTTCGTGAATTGACAGCCCATAATCGGTGATATCTGCATTATTTTCCCTACTCTCAATAAGGACATTCCCTCCATGGATATCCCGGTGGATCATTCCAGTGGATCTTTCCGGTCGTATGAAACTCTCTCAAGCTTTGGTTAGCTTTACAAGAATCTGTAACTTGCGACTCCACGGGAGGTCAGGATTTTTGCGCAAGAAGGTAGTCAAATCCCCAAGATCTGCATAATCCATGACCAGAATATGTTTGCCTGTAGTTGTCAAGCGTGATACACCACGATACACATCTTTTGCGACACCTCCTCCGACCCCTGGAGTTTCAAAACCATTGCCACGCCCACTTTCAACTTTTGTGGAAAAAGGAACAAGAGATTAAGATTTAACGAGACAGCACTGATCATCATATGATCTCAAATGCCATAAGAGGTACTTAATGAGGTTCCTTACTTCATGCGAGAATTCTTCCTCCGCACTTTTTCCTGAATTCATAACCTTAACTTCAACTCTCAGAGGCTTCCAACAAATTACTCGCTTTCCATCTGGCTCGAAACGCACACAATCAAACTGGCCATCCAACCAATCGGCTTTGTAAACGACACAGAATTCTCCCTTTGCAATCTCTACGAAATTTTGTAGCCGATCCCATTGAATCCATCGGAGGTAATGCTCGTCGTAATCACGCTCATATTTCTTGCGTTTTAATATCTCGTCATATTCCATATTCCCAGTCGTCCATCCTTCCACAAATTGTTTATGGTCACAACCGGCAGTACACCAAATTGTTTCTCGATATAAAGTTTTGCCACAAACGTAGCAGCTAAATTCTACTTTACTCATTTTGAAGCGAGACAATCAACGTGTCTCGGTGGTCGACTCATTACACAACTTTATAAGTTTGCTGAAAACCCGGTTTGAAATGAAAGTTAAACTTCGTCACACAAGTAATTGAGTTAGTGTTACAATTACAGATATTCCCAAATGATCAACATACAGTGAACCCTCCATAAATGCACGCCCTTGGGAATGGTGTGCATTTATGGAGGGTAAGAATTTGATTGATTGCACGTGAAATTAGGAAATACCATTGGTTATTTATTATTTAAAAAATTGATCCATC